ATAGTTGGATCATTGAAGAATTACTTCTTAATTAATTTAAAGTGCTCTGCAATGGTGCTGAAACCTTTTTTTTATGCAAGTCTTCTACATGTTGATTACATTTTATCACAAATCAGTTATAAATACTTTGCCAAAGTATTCAAAGAATGAAGCTCCACAACACTTAAACTTTTGAAGTTTTAGTAAGTTACTATTATTTTAAAAAAAGAATTTTTTCAACTAGAAAGACTCTGAAAGAGGCATTGAACAAATTAAATGAGAAGTGCTCACATGCTATATAATAAACAATCTTGAAATTCTAAAATTGCATTTTGAAATATTTCAATTTATGGGAAGACTCTTTTGGTGGAGCTACTGTTTTTTATTTAATTGAATCTGTTTATTGCTATATTAGATTAGAAAGAAATTGAAGGGGCCTATGATCTTACGGCATCTAACTTTAGGGAAACATTTAAAGGAGTCATAAATAGAGATAACTTACTTCACGAGTTTTTTTCTTGTAAAGATATTTGTTGAAGAAAGTTTCTCTGTATGGAAGCAAACAGATATCATCCGTGAAAACATTTGAGTTGAAATGTTTAAACATTTTAATAAAAAACATCAGAACTGAAAATATTCCCTATTTAGCAGAATTTTCTCTCATCATCTGTAGAGAAAATATTTTTCAATTAAAAATATTCTGGCCTACAAAAAAAAATCAATGGAAGGTGTTACGAGCTGAATCGTGTCCCTCAAAACTTCACATGTTGAGGTGCTAACCCCCAGGACCTCAGAGTGTGACTGTGTATTTGGAGACAGAGCCTTTAAAGAGCTTACATGGGGTAAAAGAGATCATTAGGGTGGGCCCTAATCCAGTATGACTGGTGTCTTTACAAGAAGAGATCAGGACACAGACACACAGAGAAGACTATGTGGAAGACACATGGAGAAGATGGTCATCTGCCAGCCAAGGAGAGAGGCCTCAGAAGAAACTAACCCAGCAGATGCCTTGATTTTAAATTTGTAGCCTCTGGAACTGTGAGGAAATAAATTTCTGTTTTTAAGTCCCCGAGTCTGTGGTATGTTGTTGGGGCAATCTGAGCAAACAAACACGAAAGGTACCAGCATTTTTGAAGTGATTAACTGTGAAAAGCAACTTTGAAGATTCAAGTAATATTAGGAAAGAAAATAAATAAATAAAACCATATTGAAAAACCTGCATTCTTCAGAAAAATGCCAGAAATATGGCAACGAAGCTGAAGTTTGTGACTATTTAACAAGCATAGTTACTCAGAATTTTAAATTTTGATTTACTATGCAGTTACATATCTTTATTTTTTAGAAAATTTTTTTAATTAAAAATACTTTTTTCTTTCTTTTTAAAAAAATTTTAATTAAGTTTATTAGGGTAACATTGGTTCATAAATTATATAATTTTCAGGTGTACATTATCATTTGACATCTGTATATTCTATTGTGTATTTACTGAAAAATATATTTTTGAAAATAGTTTTAATAAAACTATTTGATAAGTTCATTTGTATAAAATAACTAATCGAAAATAAAAATATTTCAAAAGTTACACAATTCTAATGCCCCTTTTGCTCTCAAATGTATCTGGGTTTGGATGATGAATTATGTGAAGGGGCTCAGAATTGCTGATCAGATGTTCCATTGTATACTGAATATTTTCATAAGTCAGCAGAAAAAAAGTCCCCGGATTTACATAAAGTGCTCACCCAGCCATTTTGTAAGCTACCTACAAAATGAAAACTTGAATTTAAGTACTTGCGGATTTGACATATTTTGCACATATTTCACAGTCATTAAAGTGTCTCTGGCCCAAGAGTTCCCCCAGAAGCCCCTGTGATCCCTGTGACTTGCCCTTTAGCCACTGGTACATGTATCTGGGTTGCTGTCTTCATCTGGAGAGTCCACACACCCTCATGGCTCCTTATCTCATTGCCCCGGCTATGCCGGGGAGGAAGTCGCCCTTGGTATTCCCCGAGTCCTCGTTCCAGGTCCCTTTCTGCTGCTTTATTTATATAACTAACACTTATAGATCACTCTATGAGCAGGCCTTCTATAAACATCAACTCACTGACTCTTCATAAGGACCCTCTGACGTAGTCATGGTGATTATTCCCACTTTACAGAGAAGAAACTGGCACAGAAAGGCTGAGGGACTTACCTAAGGTCACACAGCTCGGAAATGCATTTCAAAGCTGGCCATATGGCTGCGATGTCCATGCCCTTACCCCACACTCTGGGCTGCCCTTCGGCCCAACCATGTCGTGAGACCACCTCTCATTCCCAGCCCGGGCTAGATATTCTAAAAGCAATCTTCTCCCAAAACATTTTCCTGATTTTCTCCACCTACCTCTGACCATTTTCTCTGGAATCCTTAAATGCAGATGCGTAACCGCCCGCTCCTCAAGCTGGACTCCTGTTTATTTGGTTCTAATAGTTACTCTGTTCCACAGCACTTAATTCATCAGATCATAATATTCCATTTATTTATCTGTCTGTACCAGTGATGGTGAACTCTGTCTTGTTTATTCACGTAGCCCAGCACTCACATGGTACCTGACACGATGTAGGCATTCATTAAGTCTTTATCAAATAAGTGAATGAACATTAATGGTTTGAGACAGGTACATTCCCATGGTATTTACTCTGAGTACAGTGTTGGCTACAAGGTTATAAGAGGCTGGAACTGCCCCTCTTCCCTTTCTTCCTTACAAGTTGTGACTCACCTTTTACTGGAAGAATGCTTTTTTAAAATACCTCCTACCTGGTTTCTCATATGCTAATGCCTATGGCAACATTCTCAGCATATACTTAAGCATTTTTTAAATAAGAAAATAGATTAGCAACCTAAGGTATCTAGCCCATTTACAGTTAATGTGATTACTGGTATATTTAGGTTTAAATCTCTATCTACATCTATCTATATCTACCTATATCTATTTCCTTCTTCCTTCCTTCCTCCCTCCTCCCTCCCTCCCTCCCTCCCCCCCCTCTCTCCTTCCTTCCTTTATACCTGTTATGGAGAAGGCTTGGGGCTACTAAGATAAAACAGAAATGCTGTGCCCGCTCCCCACTTCCCCCTCCCTTTCTTTCTTTCTTTCTTTCTTTCTTCTTTCTTTCTTTCTTCTTTCTTTCTTTCTTATTGCTCCAGTCAGCTAACTAAAGAGAACCCTTACTGAGAACCCACGGCCATGGGGCTTGTGCAGGATGCCACCCTGCGATCTGTATTTGTCCTTCTTCTTGGGGTCTAGTTTGATAGTGTGGCTTGTAACATTTGACAGCACGGGGGTGCAGGTGAGGGAAACACTTAGGACAGAACATTTTGTGGAAATTGTATTTCCGGGAGAGCTGGTGGAGGGAAGGTTCAATAACGCCCGACCTGGCAGGCAAAGCACCACGTTCAGGGGTGATTTTTTTCTGGATGTGATTAGTCTAAGTGACTGTGGCCAACCTCCAGCTAGTAACCCACAAAATCAGACGCCGCTGGCTAGGTAAGATGCCCTCCTTGTCCTTTTGGGCTTTAACGTTCTCCATGATGCCCCTGGGTTCAACCTCAAGGGCAATGACCTTGCGCATCAGGGCCTCACAAAGACCTGCATCACCTCATCTGCCGACTGGCTGCCTCATTTAAGAGGACGAGCTAAATCTACAGTCCTTTTGGACTCACATGTTTTATATTCTGTTTTCTTTCCTCTTTGGGGAAGACTAACAATTGTGAAGAGGAAAGCAAGGGGGGTGGCAGGATGGTGGCCCCTGCTTTGCTGACGCCATGAGAGCAGCAGCAAGAATCTTACAGCCCCTGAATATTTGGGCAGCTTCGGCCTATGGAAACTGCTTTAGCTCTCCACCGTCCGCCCGACAATTTAGTCATGTTCAGATTTCAGTTGTTCCCTCTGCTCCCAGACTTATCACATCGGTCAGAAATCTGACACGTGGTCATGTGGCAGCAGCCCTCAGTGGCGTGGCCTCCTGGCTTCCAAGTGTCCTGAAGCTATATTCAGAACCGTGACGTGCTTCAGCTCATGACAAGGCAAGAGAGAGACCGTGAGAGCCGTCATCTACAGGTTTCTTCGACTTCATTCTGGCCCCGGGCTAAGGAAGAAGACAGGTTATAAGGAATAATTATGGGGGAAAAAAAAAAAGACTGCAAGAAAAAGATGCTTGAGGGAATTTGTGTTCTGCAATAAAACCCAGAGTAAACTCTTAGATAAAATTACGTCTTTCTGGAAGAGGCGAAACTGGTATGCTCATGATCCTTAGCAGAAGTAAGTCTTATGATCGAACAAACCTGAAAGTATAGAGCAGAAGTTTTATGATTTCCCAGTTACTCAATATGTATCTTTGTGTATATGATGTCTTTGCAAAGATGAGTAAGGATAAAACTTGATGTAAGTTGTACCGACTGATGTGGAAACATACAGTACCTACATTAAACTTATCAGAGTTTTAAAATTAAATAAAAGGAAAAACATGGAAGGAAAATCTTCAGACTCCAGACTAGTTTTCAGGAAAATAAATTCTAGCAAAGTGTGTATAGGAAATTTGATAAACTGGACATTTGTTCTATTTTTAAAAGGTTGCTAGGCATGGGGGAAAAAGAGAGACAGAGGGAGAACATATTAACCTGTTTCTGGAAGAGACTATGTATTTCATACATGGGTATGAAATAGCCAACTAGTTGCTATCCAAACGGAGAGTATAGCCCACTGTATATAAACTATTTTGAATTCCATAATGGAGCTATGCCATAATGGAGCTTTATAGTATGGTTTCTGGGCTTGAGCCCAATCTTTCCTTCTTGTAAAGTGAATTCAAGATAGTATGATTCCCTGTCAATAGTGGGTTCTTAAATAGGTTTGAGGTTTTCGAGCACTACCAATATCAACATTGACGTTAGAGGCAATCACGATGAAGGAGACTCTGATAAGTCATGGGGAGGGAGAGGGCATAAAAGGCAGGTTGGACTAGCGATTCTCTACCACTGAGACAAGATGACCGAGCTCACCCTCCTCGCGGGTGAGGAGCCACCACCACTCTGTGCCTGTGAGCTACTCTCTCTCTCTCTCTCTCTCTCTCTCTCTCCTTTTACTGTCCCTTTAAAACTTTCTTTTGCCTTCAAACCATATCTCCTGATTTGATTTGCTTTTGGCAAAAGCACTGGGACACAGTTCCCTCCTTGTTGATAGGTCTTTCACTGTCCTGAAGTCTCCCTCCCTTCGCCAAGCCTCAAGGCTCATGACACTTTAGTGGTCTTGTGAGTGGGAGTAGAGGGGAGTGGGAATCTAGGAGAAATCCTGAGGCTTTATGAGCCTCGGTAGGTTAGGAGTCTGCAGAGAATGTTAAAAGAACTCAAAGAGTAAAACGTAGGAAAAGTTTCCTACTGCAAACAAAGCGCCAGCGTACAGAGGCTGTCTGTTCACAGATGTGTCCCTCTAGCTCATTACTCTCTCTTGCCTGAAGGTCTGCTCCTCATGCTGACAGCTGAGATAAGTACGTATTCTTCTTGGGATGGATCACCGAATTGTTCCTGTTTTGTTTCTTCACGATATGGAAACTCGGCATGGCCCTCTGTCCTACTTCGAACAAAGAATATTAATTCATTTTTTTAGAGAGTTTGAAATTCCCTAAGTTAAAGAATTGGGATCATTGGCCTAAAAATCCCAAAGCTGAAACCAACTAGACAGTGGTCTTAAAAGTAAATGTTAACAATAAAAAATAACACAGCAAGGCATCTGCTCTTTTAAAGCACTTTCAAACCCTTCATCTTACTGAGTCTTTAAAACAATTCTCTGAGAGGTGGACAGGAGAGGCATTACCACTCCACCTTACAGACTGGTTCCCTAAGGCAGAAATGAATCGTATGACTTGTCCCAGGGAATATAAAGAGTTTGTGGCAGAATCTAAACCTGCAGCCAGGACTCTTAACCGTTAGTGCATGATTCCTTTCTCTCTGAGTGAAATTATTACTCAGGAGACGGCTTCAAGTGTTAAATAGCCTATACTATCATCTTTTCTGTAGTTTAGTTTCCAAATGAGTAAAATGGGAATAATAATACCTCATTTGCTGAGGATTAATGAATGAATTTAAACAAATCACTCAGAGCATTACTTAGTACATAATGAGTGCTGAGTAAGCATTAAAATTGCTAGTATTAACATGTAGCGGGGGCTAGAATACATTTAAATCAGAATTTACCAGCTTTAAGGTTTCTTGTCAGCAGAAGGCGCTTATTTCTAAGGTTCTTTAATTCTCTCTGAGGGATGGAATTACCTCTAAGAGATAACTTCGGCCCTGAATTGCCTGCTAATTATGAGTTTATCTCACTACCCAAGGATCTCATGCAGATCTTCCCCTTCCCTTTGAGACTTGAACAGGAAAGTTATTTGGAAATCTATGGTTTCTTAAGCAATCAATAACTTTCTCCGTAACAGTTTTTTATCCTCTTCCCCTGGATAACAGGTTCTGCCTACCGGCTGACATTCTACTTCACCAGCTGGGCCGAGTACCAACCTGGCCTGGGACGCTTCAAGCCTGATGACATCAACCCTACCTCTGTCCTCCCCTGATCTCTGCCTTTGCTGGGATGGGCAACGACGAGGTCACCACCACTGACAGAATGGATGACGTGACCCTCTACCACACTTTCAGTGGCCTGAAAAACAAGAAAGGACTGAAGTTTAAAGTCTTTTAACCTTCAAGAAGAGTTTGAACAAAACCTTCTGCAGTAGCCACCAGCCTGAAATTCCTAACAGGCCAACAGGCAGCATACATAAATTCTGAGCTTTCTTATTGTTTCCAGGACAGTGATGACTCTAACTTAAGGGACATGGCTGGCCCACAGGAGGAGGTTATCAACTGAAGTCCAGCCCAATCGCCAAGAAAAGTCCGAGTACTATGAAATCAGATGAGAATAGTCTTTCACTTGGAGGCAGCCCAAAGCTGGCATTGATGAAGCACACGGTGTCCTTAGTCTGAGGTTCCATTGCAAGGGGAGTAACGGGACAAGTTGTAGACACTAAGTTGAAACTACCAACTTACGGTCACCGACTCCAACTCCTCTCACGATTTCGGAAATAAGGATGAGAATGAAGAAATCCAGTATGAGAGGCAGCATGAGACTTCCCTTGGCTTCTCAATCACTATAACAGCTAATGTTGAAATGATTTATCTTTCTTTCCATTTGTTCCAACAAAACTCTTTGCTTCTTTTCCCCTAGAAGCAGTCAACTGAAAACTCTCCTAGCTATTGGTGGCTGGAAACTTGGAGCTGTTCCGTAAGTTTTTTGAGATGACTTCCTGCATGAATTTCACTACGAGGTGCTGGGACCACCCAGGCATTCCCTCCCTCTGCCTTCTTTGGGTCTCCCTTAGTTTCACTGCTCTGGCTTCCACGCCTGAGAGCCGCCAGACTTTCATTGCCTCAGTCATCAAATTCCTGCACCAGTATGAGTTCGACGGGCTGGACTTTGACCAGGAGTACCCTGGCTCTCATGGGAGCACTCCTCAGGACAAGCACCTCTTCTCTGTCCTGGTGCAGGTGAGATGCGTTCCATATCATTTTGACTGGAAAGCACACGACGAATCTCATGTGAAAGATTATGGAGGCTGTACAGAAAACCTAGCTCCCTACAATCTTAGGAGGAGAGGAAGGACCAAGAGACCCCATTCCAGAGAGAATGCTGAAGAATGAAAGATAGAAGAGGTTAATTTAATTTAATTCAAAGAATAGTCACAGAAGTCAGCTTAGAGTTAATACTCATAGACTTTCTCCTACTCTTGCACAGGAAATATGTGAAGGTTTTGAGCAGAATGCCAAACAGGTTGACAAGCCCAGGCTGATGGTCACCACTGCAGTAGCTGCTGGCATCTCCAACATCCAGTCTGGCTATGAGATTCCCCCACCTGTCTCAGTGAGTGATGACTTGTCCTACAACTCCTCTGTGTGTCACTTGTGCAAGAGATTCATCCTTAGTCTGCTTGCTATTCAGGGATCTTGTTTAGGAGTGGCATCTTTTACCTGCAGACATGTGAGAAATGACCATCAGAGATGTCTTTAACTCCTTTGTACCAACTCAGGTACCTGGACTACATCCATGTCATGACCTATGACCTGCATGGCTCCTGGGAGGGCTACACTGGAGAGAACAGCCCCTTCTACAAAAACCCAACTGACACTGGCAGCACTGCCCACCTCCATGTGGTGAGTCCCCGAATAGATGCAGATGCAGACCAGAGACCATGTCGTAAATCACGCGGAGATTTGGGGACAAAACCAACAAAAATTCCACAAATGTCTCACTTGTATAATGTCCTCTTAAGTGACTGATCAAATCCCCTTAAGATAGAATTCTAGGCCTTCCTTTTCAAGTAGGTTTCGTGGGCATCCTTCTCAGCTTCTCCTCCCCCATGCCTCTCACCACTGCTACATGGACACTTTGCCTACCTCTTAACCTCTTCCCTACCTCTTAACCTCTTCCCTACCTCTTAACCTCTTCCCTACCTCTTAACCTCTTCCCTACTTCTTAACCTCTTCCCTACCTCTTCTTAGATCTGTACCTTCCTGAAGTACGGAGCTACTGAAGCGTGGGAGGCTTCTGAGGATGTTCCTTATGCTTACAGAGGCAATGAGGGGCTTGGCTATGATGACACCAGGAGCTTCAAAATCAAGGTAGACTGTGTTCCATAGACTGTTGTTCCCCATGAGTTTGTTGCCATTTGGAGGCCCAGATTGGCCTTAATATATGAACTTCATTTGCTTTCTCTCTAATTACCACAGGGTGACTAGCTGAAGAAGAACAACTTTGGAGGTGCCATGGTCTGGGCCATTGATTCGGATGACTTCATGGCACTTTCTGTAACCAGGGCAAACTCCCCCTGATTACCACCCTGAAGGATGCCCCGGGTCTGCAGAGCACCAGTGAGTTACAGCAGGAGGGTGCCCAGGGGCTATACATACTCCTTCTCCAACTCAAAAGACAGCTCTCACATCTGCCCACCTCCACTGCCCAGACAGCCTCTTCCCATTTCTCCACACTGCTCTGGCCCAGGCGAGAGACAGGTGCTGTAATCTTTCCCTAAATTTCTGTCGGGAATTTTATGCTTGTATGGGAAAAAACAGCTACCTGGTTGGGTTTTACAGGTCTATTTAGTCCTAAAGGTGTCCTCGAGAAATTAGGTTGACCTTACAACATAAACATTTACTTCTCTATGAACCCTTTATTGAAAGTCTCTTTCATTCCACTCGGGAAGATTTAATGAGAAACCCTTAGCAATGCTCATATATTTTTTTAAATTTCATTTTATTATTAGTTTCAAGTATACAGTGCATTGGTTGGACATTTATATAGTTTACGAACCGATCCCCCTGATTGTTCTTTCTCTCCTCTGACTCTACACGTAGCCATTACATTAAGCTGACTGCAGTCCCTATGCCATGCTCCCCATCTCCGTGACTATCTATCAATTACTGATTTGTATTCCTTTGACCCTTCACCCTTTTCTCCCAGCCCCTCAACCCTCCTCCCCTCTGGCTGTCACCAGATCATCCTCTATATTCGTGAGTCTGTTTTTGGTTAGTTTGTCTTTTTGTTCCTTAGATTCCGCATATAAGTGAAATCATATGGTATTTCTCTTTCTCTGTCTGACTTATTTGTGAATGTTAGGATTTCGTTTTTACAAATGGCTGAGTAATATTCCATTGTGTATATGAACCGTAACTTCTTTATCCAATCGTCTGTTGATGGGCATTTAGGTTGCTTCCATATCTTGGCTATTGTAAATTGTGCTGCCATGGAACATAGGGTGCATAGGTCTTTACGAATTATTGTTTTGGTTTTCTTTGCATAAATATCCAGAAGAGCAATTGCTGGGTCAAAAGGTATACCCATTTTTAATTTTTTGAGAAACCTCCAGACTGTTTTCCATAGCGGCTGTACCAATTTGCAATCTCACCAACAGTATATGAGGGTCCCTTTCTCCACATCCTCGTCACCACTTGTTATTCTTTGATTTATTGATGATAACCATTCTGACAGGTGTGAGATGATATCACATTGTGGTTTTAATTTGTATTTCTCTGATGATTCGTGACCTTGAGCATCTTTTCATATGTCTATTGGCCATCTGTATTTCTTCTTTGGAGAAATAGCTATTCAGGTCTTCTACTCATTTTTTAATTGGATTCTTTATTCTTTTGTTGTCGACTTGTATGAGTTCTTTATATATTTTGGATATTAACCTCTTATCAGATGTATTATAAGGGAACATCTTCTCCCATTCAGTTGGTTGGTTGTCTTTTCGTTTTATTAATGGTTTCCTTTGCTGTGCAAAACTTTTTAGTTTGATAGAGTTCCATTTGTTTATTTTTTCTTTTGTTTTCCTTGCCTGAGGAGATATGTCTGAAAATAAATTTCTAGTAGCAATATCAGAGAGATTAGATTGCTGCTTATATTTTCCTCTAGAAGTTTTATGGTTTGAATCTTACATTTAAGTCTTTAATCCATTTGAGTCTATTCTTCTATACGGTGTAAGAAGGTGATCCAGTTTTTTTTTTCTTTCTTTCTTTCTTTTTTTTTTTTTTGCATATATCTGTCCAATTTTCCCATCACCACTTATTGAAGAGACTGTCTTTACCCCATTGTATATCCTTTCTTCTTTTGTCATGTATTAAGAGTGCTCATGTATTTTTAATCTGTAATTCAGGGGAAGCACAAACTCCTTGAAATTTTTTCCAGATTTTCTCTTAGTGCTTATTTGCTCACCACTTATACTCAGACCCTAGAAAAGTATTTTGCACATCTCGGTGCTCAGTGATTTTTTAAAAATGATTTTGACATGGTAAGGGAAGAAAAAACTTTTAAATTAAAAACCAGGCTGGATTGAAGTGATAGCTTTCCTTTATTCTTAAATATGGCGTTATCCTGTGATCTTTGCAGTTGTAGGGCTCCAGAACTCACTGCGCCCCACCTCCAGATTTCATCCCAGGTCCACTAGTCTCTTCCCCTCTAGGCGAAGCTGGAAGCCTCTACCAGGTCACTAGTCTGCTCTTGTATTGTTTCAGGTTGCTCTGCCCCTGCTCAGCCCATTGCACCAATAACTTCTCCTCCCGGTAGTGGGAGCGGAAGCAGAAGTGGAAGTGTGAAGTGACGGGGACTGGGAGCAGCAGCTCTGGTGGCAGTTCTGGGGGCAATGGGTTCTGGGCCGGCAAAGCCAGTGGCCTCTACCCTGTGGCAAACAACAGAAATGCCTTCTGGCACTGCCCGAATAGACTCACGTACCAGCAGAACTGCCCGGCCGGGCTTGTCTTTGACACCAGCTGTGATTGCTGCAACTGGGCATAAACCTGACCTGTCTCCATTCCCTAGGGTTCTGAACAGTCTCCTGTGTTTAGCACATCTTGCTCCTACCTAGAGTTCTGCAATAAAATCCCTCAGTCAAAACATGAGTGTCCTTGGTGTTTAGCGATTTGAGTGGAAACCTTCGTAGATGTGAAAATACAGGCTGTGCTTGAGGGAGAGTGGAGGAAGCAAGTGTATGAGGAAGCGGTGGAGACAACAGCACAATCCCCTATCTGCCCGCATCGATCAGCACGAAGATCGAAGGCTGTCAGGAGGAAATGTTTGAAGGTTTGGTGCTGGGATGGGATGTGGACATTAAGAATAAAGGCCAAGCTTGGTGACTGTCCTCAGGAAAGAGCCAAAGTGATTTCATGAGACTCGGGGGGCACAGGCCTGCCCGGCTCCCTCAAGGACAGAAAGCCAGAGCATTCTCTTCTGCTGAGGTCCCAGAGTTGGTCCAGCACCTCCTAGATTGGCAGTTTTGGAAAGATCTGTGCAGTGGGCTCCTTTTGGGGTGTCTGTTCAGCCCATGGGCCAGCGGTGTCCCTTTCTCAGGAGATTGCTGTCCTCTCCTTGAACCCATAGTGGTGGTCACCACCTACCGTGCTCGTATTGCATCGTGTCCTCCCCCGGCTTGGCTGGTTGACTAGGGTGGACATCAGACTTCACAGGCCAATCAGATTATCATCACTTTCAATCAGCAACCAGGAGCACGGACTGGCTGTCAGTCCCTGAGAGTGGCTGGGCCTGTAACGAGTAAGCTCAGGAGCTGTAGTGAGGGTCTGAGAAGGGCAAGTTTGCCTGGATGCAGAGGAGGAAGACCGAAGGGGAGCTACCGAGAAAAGCCGCAATGCCAAGGAGCGAGAACACTTACCAGATGGCTTTTCAACCCGATGCCAGCGCCTTCTTGAGGCCCAGATGCATTTCTGCCTGTGGGCTCTGTAAAACACCCTTATAACCTTATACTAAACTATTCTTTGCTGCTTAAGCTGGCTCAAATTTGTTTCTTTCATTTGCAACTAAAAGACTCCTAGCAATATAGTGAGACTGTAATTGCTCTTATTTTTTTCTGGCATGCTTATTATGTGTCAAACACTGTTTTAAGTGTTTTACATGTATTTTCTTATTTAATTTTCCCAGCAACCTTGAGAGGAAGATAATATTAATTCCAGGAAACTGAGGCACAGAGGACTTAGGTAACCTGCCCAACATCACACAGCTAATAAAGGTCCAAAGCCAGACTTAAAGCCAGGCAGGCTGGCTCCAGAGCTCACGGTCCTAACGACTTTGTTCCATTGCCGCCCTTCACCCAGACCTCAGTGTCCTCATGGCAGCTGGCAGCACTGCTGCTAGCCATGAGGCACATACAGCTTTCTGGGTAATGAACAGTCATGAACTTGCAACACTTACTGATTATTTACTATGTGCCAGATAATGTTCTAGGTGCTGCAGACACGGTGGTAGTTTGGATTTTATTACAAGTGAGCTGAGAAACCACTGGAAGGTCCTAGCAGGGATGAAGGGCTGACGACATAATCTAAATTCAATATTGATGAGAGAGGGCTGGAATAGAGTCACAGAATATAGGAAAATAGCACTCGTGGTGTTTATAGCTGCTGTATTGACTTCTGAGCACTTGTGACATGCCTTGGTGATCGAAGACATAGATATGGGAGACCAGTGTCCTCCATGAACAGGTGAAGGCAAGAGTCAATAAAACTGGGTATCGTTATGCATGCATTACATCTCCAGCCAAAGAACGATAAAGTCTGGAGTAAAATAAGACGTAGGAATTTGGGGGAGTCTTTTTTAGAAGGCGTTTCCTATCTAGGTCACTATTAAGACGAATAGCTCTGAGGAGGTGACATGAGGATGTAAGGCACCGGACTTTGTGAAGTACATGAAAGAGGCTGTTGACTTAGAAAAGCGTCTTTGAACAACATAGCAGCCAGTGGCTAATCAGAGTGGTTTCCAGACTAATGTCTTTTCTAATGCCACTATTTTCCCACCAAGATTAATTCTGTCACCATTTCTAGAATGCAGAAATTACCGCAGCCTAAAAATTAATGTCCTCTCATTTTCCTGCTAGATTTACATATTAATTCATCATTCAAATGAATGTTTACTGTGTACCTACTATGTGCAAGAAGAGGATGGGTGTGACCCAGACCCTATGACCACTGTAACCTCCCTCCACTTCAACAATGTCGGCCAATGTTTGCTGTTTCTCAAATAGTCCAGGCACGTTACTGCCTCAGGGCCTTTGCACAAGCTAGAACACTCTCCCCAGATTTCCATTTGAGTTTCTACCTCATTTCCTTCAGACCTTTCCTCAAAGCTACCTTTTGAATGAGGCCATTCCTGGACATTCTACCTAAAATCGAAACTCCCTTTTCTCTTGCCCCATTCCCAGGCTTCCTTTGTTTTATATTGTCACATATCAATACCTGGCACAACATACATTTTATGTATTTACTTTTTTTATTGTCTGCCTCCCCCATGAGACTCTCTATGAGGACAAGGATTTCTGTTTACTGCTATATTCCTATTGCCTAGCGCAATGCCTGACATATTACAAGAGTTAAATAAATAGTTGTTGAACGAATAAATCAATGAGGGAAGGAATAGAGATGGCAACTAACAGGTTGAGCATTCCAAGCATGGATTAGGTACTTTGTGCAGGTTATCTCCTGAGTGGTGAATAGTGTCCCTGTATTACAGGTGAGGAGATCGAGATCTTGAGAGAAAAACTTTCCCAAGATCAAAGAGTTAATTAGCAGAGCTGATTCTCAAAGTTGAGTCTTTCTGGCTCCCTTCAAACTACAATATTGCCTCATAGAAAGGCATGTCACAATAACTTGAAGGGGAACTCAAGGGTGGGGCTATTACTTAGCAGCCAGTTTTAGTTACACTCATTACTTTCTTATTTAAAGTCCACTTATGCTGAGTCATGAAGATAGGACATGAGAAAAACAGAATTCTTGAAAGCTCCTCTGAGAGAGAGCACTGGTCCAGAACTTCTTGGAGATCTACAGCGTCCATGTCATCTGATCTACCTAGGAACATAAAGGGCAACAGATACTTGTCAAAGATCTCCCAGCCATTCCTTTGGGACTTTGCTGATGGTAATCGTGTTTTTGGACTCTAGTACTTGTATGAAAATTTATCCCTTCGTATTGGAATCTAATTGGAACGAGGTTGGGTATGCATGAGATAACATACGGGCCCTGATCCAGGCAGCGCTCCAGAAAGTGCTCCTCTCACCAAGTCATGAGACTTGACAAGGGGTGGCACCCACCCAGATGAAAGGGCACAATTTTTTTTTATTTGCACACAGGTGCCCTTGGAGTTAGCTGTAGCCCTGGGCATGGAGGTGATAGATTGGAAGTACATTATCATTTGTTAAATGCCAATTATAGGTTAGTCACTTGCTGGGCAAATTTTGTCTCGTGTTATCTCCTAAATTCTCATGGCAGCCTTAAGAGGCAGGAAATGATTAGAGCCATTTTATAGATGAACCAAGGCTTAGGTAGATTAAGTAGATTAAGGTTGTGTAGTTAGTATATCACAGTCGAGTGCCTACTGGGAACCAGTTCTGAGTGGCTTCAAATCCTGTGTTCATTCCTCTACAACCAGATGAAAGAGGCTGGTATTTAAGAACGACTGGAAAGTGGGATATAGAAGGTCTCTTTTTCCTCTGCTCCATCTCCCTTTTCAAGACACAGCCGTCCTCCAGCAGAATCTGGATCACGGGTTCTCGATCCTATTCAGACCCAAGTCCTGCTTAGAGTAACAAATTATTTTGTAACACCCGTTTATTATGCTAAAGTTAAAGTCATGGGTAACATAACCTACCACACATACTTTCCCAAACAATATAATGCCATAATTTTAATGTAAATGAGAAAAAAATAATTCCTAATAAAATAATATATATTTAATAATACATTAATATATTTCTATTATGTAATATAACATGCTAAATATATATTATTTATATATTTATATACATATTTATGTTTATGTATAAATTTATACACACACACACACACACACACACACACATATATATATATATATATATATGCTCTTGCACTCTAAAAAAAAATAGTAAGCTATTTTAGTTTTTTGTCCTTTGTAAATTTGTAAGTCATATAAATATAAAGTGTTTATTGGAAATAATCTCTCATTTTTTTGTGAAAGATTAGGACCATGTAGAATGTGTGAGAGTGGAAAAGAGGGAGTGCTTTTGAGGGATGGCAGGGGAGAACAAGAGAGAGAAGCGACATTCTCAAGACTAGGCCAAGGGCAGATG